CCATCCTGTATAGCTCGTTGGGTCACAGAGGTGCACAAGCCATCACACCACATCAAGGTTCAGTCTCGTCGTGACTCTCAAGTTCACAATTCCAATAATTACCACCCCCCCCCCATTTCACGTTGATAGTGCAAATAAACTTGTCATCCCATGAGGATAATGGTGATGAAACTCACGTTCTGTTTCTGAGTCGCAGTTTACCTATCTATGTGCGGTACTGCGAGATGGTGCTTCCAGATGGGGTCGGTTGCACCCAAGACCCGCTATTTTTTGAGGGTATTCCCCTGTTATCGAAGGTTTCAGTTTCAGTTTGTACAACCACTAACCATGCACTACCGTGCGCCGGTTTTGGTTGCCCATTTGGATAAAAGAGCAAAATGTAGGTTGGAATGTCAAAGCAAATTCAAGCGGAAGGTGGGGAATTCATATAGAGTTGTGTTGGGAGAATAACGAGTGAATGCACGAGCGCCACTGTTTGCGACACCCAGCCATATCACCATATCGAAGGTAGCTAACCGTTAGTTAAGATGAAATACTTCGGCTGTTTCGTCACATTTTAAAGCATGCGATGAGGTAGATAATGTAAGGTTGTCATCTCTGGATAGCAGTCACTGGACTTGGCGATGGGTTTCCTAATTGTGGGCTTGCTTAATTTATGAGCAGTGGATCAGTTAGAATATTCCGATGAAGTCTTTGATGTATGTATGTTATGATTGAAATCGTTGGCCTACTGCAAAACAGATTTGGAATGTTGAAGAGTGAAAGGTAACACATAAGAACCTGTGATAGAACGGTTTGTCGCCGAAACCACTACTGTACAGTTTTGACTTGGACGACCTTTTGACAATAGAAAGTTTGTCAATTATTCTGATAGATGAAAGCTGGTTGAGAGTTAGATAGATCACACAATGAGAGTGTGTAGCACATTTTAGTGCTTATATGGTTCAGTGCATTAGAATATTATGAAAGGTGAATAGTGGCATTTATGTTGAATGAACGAAGCCAAACAGAATTTTCCAAGTTGTTTGAAGCATCCATTTTTCAGTTCAGTTCAGTTTGTACAACCACTAACCATGCACTACCGTGCGCCGGTTTTGGTTGCTATCTTTCGGCTTCCCATTGGAATGAAGCAGTAGGAGAAAGACAGGAAAGTTGAAGATAGAGTCGAAGAGAAAATGGAGCAGTTCAGTGGACTAATGTTGCAAAGGAATTGACAAGGTGCACAAACACCATTGATTACGACACTGTCATATCGCTCAAAGTGCACCACCATCGGTTAAGATCCTCCCGAGGTCCCCAGCAAGGGAGCCCAACGGGACCTATGTGACCCAGACCCTCATGCCAGGTCTTAGCTTGACCACCCTGGGCTTTATTCCACCCACTGCCTGCCTCGGCAAACATCGTTTGCCATGGCAACCTATTTGGTGACATTCTTAACACATGCCCCAAACAAAGTAATCTATGGAGGTCGACCACGTGCTCCAGTGGGCGACCGCGATTGCCTAAAACGTTTCGCCTGACCTCAGCATTGCTCGTCCGACTGCCCAACCAGATTTGTGCAGTGCTGCGTAGACAGCGGTGTTCAAGCACCGACAGTCTATCTTTGCCCCGTTTTGTTAATGGCCAAGTGTCTGCTCCATATAGCAGGACTGGCCGAACTGTCGCGGCATACACTCGGCTCTTTACAGACAGCCGGATTTCGTGACGGCACCACAGATGTCTCAAGTTGACAAGTGCCTACTGAGCCTTCTGTATGCGAGCTGACACTTCATCTGTGATGCGTCCGCCAGGTGAGATATAGCTGCCCAAATAGCAAAACTTATCCACCTGTTCTATTACTTCCCCAGTTAGAGTGAGGCTGGGTGCTGGACTAACCCAGTCTTGTAGTAGCATTTTACACTTTGAAGGTGCAAAACGCATACGGATATGGCTACGCTGGCATTCAAGTTATCCAGAAATGCATGCAATTTACCTGGATCTTCACTTAGCAGCACAATGTCGTATGCATACACTAGATCAGACAGTCTGCCACTTGGGAGTAAATCGATACCACTATCTTCGCACGAGGATGGGACTGTTTTCATAATCAGATCTATAACAAAGTTAAGTAGAAAAGGGGAGAGAGGGTAACCCTGTCGAACACCACTTTCCGTGGTGAACTGGGATGAAAACGTGCCGTAAGCTCCGACTCGGCTTCGGCTATGAATGTACAGGGATTGTAATGTTGAAATAAACTTCTCGGGCACACCTTTCAGAGAATGGCAGCGCCGGAGTTTAGAGCGGTCAACTGAGTCGAAGACCGCTTTCAAATCGAGAAAGACAGAGATGATGGGTCTACGAAAGGAATGTCGGTGTTCCGGAGTTTGGCGCAGAGTGAAGATGTGGTCGATGTACCCGGTCTAAAACCAGCCTGGTTCTCACGCGTGCACTCTTTACGTGCGGTAGGCGATCGACGGAGTATGATACCAGCGAGAAGTTTAGAAGCAATGTTGATTAAACTCATTCATTGTAGGTATTGATCCATCATTGTATAGTTCAGGGATAGAGGTTTCAACGCTCAACACGAGGTTTCGTGGTTCGAGTTTGGGAAAGAATACAAAACACGTACTGCCGACAAGTCCCACGAAAGACGAAACAGCTGTTCAGTTCATTTTGCGTAACGACTTGTCCAGATGATATTTTAGAGTGCTTAGTAAAATTTGGTCAGCGACAAATGAAACCAAACGAATCATCCATCATTCGGAAACCACTAATCCCAAATTTGAACCACCCAGGAAGTGTGTATGTGTGTGTGTGTGTGTGCATATGTGCTCGGGTCGTGTGTGCGGCAGGATGTCCCCCATGAACGAATACACCAGACAACCGCAAGTGGGCGAGTCTAGGTGTGGACTGGAACAGACACGATGGTCTCCGTGGAGAGGGGTTTGACTGACAATCTGAAGAAGATGAAACTACCCACACCATGAACCCAGTGGTGCAGTGAGACATGAGCACGACTCACCCTCAAACGGAATGGCAAGTTGCCAAGGTCGTTACTCATCTGTCTCTCATCTTGCTTTCTGCTCTCATTGGGTGATTAGATCAAATAGATGATTGATTCTCAATCTCACCCGGTAATATTTGTTGTTGGTTGTATCCCCGATGTTACGAGATAAGCAGCCGGTGATTAGGAAAAAAGATCCATGTTACTCTTTTAACGTTCATGCTACCTACGATACCGGGGTGGTGTGTTAAGTTTGTGCTTTGATTTGGATCATGGATTTGTTCAGTAGGATCTATTGGAGAAGAGACTTTTCAATTTACCAGATCTTTATAGGGTGTTGGGAGACTTGGGAAAGCATCAATTTTTAGGTCAATTAAGTGATTTGTTTATCAGAGCGAGAGAGAGAGAGAGAGGTGCACATTCAACTGCCGCATAATCAACAT